AGAGCGTCCAGGTCCTCGGGCTCAGAGGCATCGCTGGGGCCTGCGCAGAGCGTCCAGGTCCTCGGGCTCAGAGGCATCGCTGGGGCCTGCGCAGGGCGTTCAGGCGCTCGGGCTCAGAGGCATCGCTGGGGCCTGCGCAGAGAGTTCAGGCGCTCGGGCTCCAGAGCGCCCACGTGCTCTGGAGCACTTTTCAGAGCGTCCGCGCGCCCTGGAGCACTTTTGAGAGCGCCCACTTGCTCTGGAGCATTTTTCAGAGCGCCCACTTGCTCTGGGGCATTTTTCAGAGCGCCCACTTGCTCTGGAGCACTTTGCGGAACGCCCAAACACGCACGGCCACTCTGAGCTGGTTGTAAAGTGGTCCGTTCTGGTTGTAAAGTGGCCCGTTCTGGTTGTAAAGTGGCCCGTTCTGGTTGTAAAGTGGTCCGTTCTGGTTGTAAAGTGGGCCGTTCTGGTTGCAAAGTGGACGTTCTCGATGAAAAACCATACTTTCCAATCCTATGTTGGTTGTAAAGTAACCCATCTGGTTGTAAAGTGGTTGTTCTGGTTGTAAAGAGACCGAATCTCGGGGGGGGGGGCGGGGTTCGAACCGGTAGTGACCCCCCCCCCCCGGGTTTTCCGCTAGCAGCGGTAGAACACGCTCTTTCAGACCTCAGGAGCCCAAAAGTGACGACAGCTGCAAGATTCCGATGACCCGCCCCGGATTAAAAACATGCGCTGCGGGCCCCGCAGGGAGGGAGCTCCCGCCTGAGACTTCCTCGCAATTCACTCACAGACAGGGCTCTCGCCGGATACTTCCTCCATGTTCAGACCTCAGGAGCCCAAATGTGACGACAGTTGTAGGACTCCGATGACCCGCCGATGGCTCCGTGACGACTCCGATGGAAGAGCCTGATGATGCTGATGATGATGCTGATGATGGTGCTGATGATGATGCTGAGGATGATAAGAATGATGATGATGATGATGATGATGATGATGATGATGATGATGATGATGATGATGATGATGATGATGATGATGATGAGTGTGTGAGTGAGTGCGTGAGTGGGTAGGTGGGTGAGTGAGTGGGCGAGTGCGTGAGTCCGTGATGATGATGAGTGTGTGAGTGAGTGCGTGAGTGGGTGAGTGAGTGGGTAAGTGAGTAAGTGATGAGTGTGTGAGTGGGTGTGCGAGTGGGTGAGTGAGTGGGTGAGTGAGTGAATGGGTGAGTGGGTAAATGAGTGAGTGATGAGTGTGTGAGTGAGTGTGCGAGTGTGTGAGTGAGTCGGTGCGTGAGTGAATGTGAATGATGATGATGATGATGATGATGATGATGATGATGATGATGATGATGATGATGATGATGATGATGATGATGATGATGATGGTGATGTGTGTGTGAGTAATTGAGTCCGTGAGTGTGCGATGAGAACAAAGGAGGGGGTGTGTTCTATTTCTTGTTCCTGCGCGGGGTGTGGGGGAGAAAACAAGAAACCCACTTTGGATGTGGGGTTAACGTGAGCAGCGGGCCCCATAGGCAGAAGGCTCCCGCCTGAGACTTCCTCGCAATTCACTCACAGATGCGGCTCCCGCCTGATACTTCACCCAGGTTCAGGCCTCAGGGACTCAAAAAAGACAACAATTGCAGGACTCCGATGACCCGCCCACGATTCCGTGACGACTCCGATTGAAGAGCATGATGATGATGCTGATGATGATGATGCTGATGATGATGCTGATGATGATAATAATGATGATGATGCTGCTGCTGATGATGATGATGATGCTCATGATGATGATGAGGATGAGGATGAGGATGAGGATGATGATGATGATGATGATGACAATGATGATGACAATGATGATGATGATGATGATGATGATGATGATGATGATGATGATGATGATGATGATGATGATGATGATGATGATGATGATGATGATGATGAGTGTGTGAGTAAGTGAGTGGGCGGGTAGGTGGGTGAGTGAGTGGGAGAGTGCGTGAGTGCGTGGTGATGCTGATGAGTGTGTGAGTGAGTGCGTGAGTGGGTGAGTGGGTAAGTGAGTAAGTGATGAGTGTGTGAGTGAGTGTGCTGATGGGTGAGTGAGTGGGTGAGTGAGTGGGTGAGTGAGTGAATGTGAGTAATGATGTTTGTGAGTAAATGAGTGTGCGTACGATGGGAGAAGAGGAGAGGGTGTGTTCTATTTCTTGTTCCTGCGCGGGGTGTGGGGAAGAAGAACTGGGTGTCTGGGAGCCTAGACATCCGGCTGCTCCACCTTTTTCGACGCCTGGGCCCTGGAGGTCCAGGCCACTTCCCCGGGGCCGGCTCTGCCTCCTGAGCCATCCCTGGACGCTCCCGAGGCCCGGCATGGGCCCCCCGAGGCCGCAAATGGTAAAACCGCCCGCTCCAGCCTTGTGGGAGCGTCGGATCTCTGGGAGCCTGCGCGCGTTCCGTCCAGCGCACACTGCGGCCATCCAGCAAGGCCGCAGGCCCACATCCGGAGAGGCCGGCGAAGCCGCGCAGCGGCGGGCTGGGCGGTGGCACAGCAAGGAGGGGAGGGGAGCGCGCAGAAGCACGCAGAGGGGGCACAGCAGGCCGCAGAGGGCAGGGTCAGCCCGTGTCCGCGGGAGGCGCGGTGAGGATGCCGGGGCCGTGGCTGCCCACGTCGACGCTTGTCGAGCGGGGCGCGGCCAGCGAGAGTGGCGAAGGGTGTATCATATGAGGGTGCGCGGCCCACGTCGAAGCTCTTCGAGCGGGGCGCGGCCAACGAGAGTGGCGACGGATGGACCGGGGAGGCAAGGATGCAAGGGTACCCTTGGGAAGGTTGCCCGTCCTTGCTGTGCGGGTTGACTGTGCAGTCGGACCGTACTCTACTGCGTGCTTCGCGGAGGACGCGCGAGGGCACGCATGCGGAGGGCGAGGCGGAGCGGAGGGCGAAGCACGCGGGGAGCGAAGCGGAGCGGAGGGCACGCGAGAGGACACGAGACCCTTCCGAGGGCCACGTTACCGGCAGTAGCGTAGAGGGGTCGCGAACACACGGGACGCAAGGGTGCCCTCGGCGTTGCAGGGCCGGCCTGCTGATCAGGGCCGACTGTGCGGAGAGAGGCAGAGCAGGAAAGTGAGGAAGGGTGGTCGAGGGGAAGCGGAGGGAGGGGGGGGTGACGAGGGAGGAGCAGGACGTGACAGTGCGGAGGAGGAGGAGCTGGAGAACCAGGAGGCTGAGATGAGGAGGAAGGGCTGCATAAGCTGGATAGCCAGAAGCAGGCGGGAGTGAGGAGAAAGAGGAGGCGGTACGACCAGGGGGGGGGACGTGGGGGAGGAGGCGAGAGTGAGAGAGAGGATGACGGAGCTGGCGGAAGTTGGCGACGAGGAGGTCGACGACGATGGGAGGGTGGGCAGAGTCAACCAAGGATGCATCCTCCAAGCCGCAGAACATCCTCACACGCCCCGGGTCAAAATGTCCTCCCCCGGAGCCCCAGAAGAAGAACAGCTTGCCCTGACATGCGAGGACGCCCCTGGGCCTGCCACGTAGGCGAGATATGATGGAGTCAACCGCCCTCCTCCTCCTCCTCCTCCGGAGGAGGAGGCGGAGGCGGAGGCGGAGGCGGCGGAGGAGGAGGAGGAGGAGGAGGAGGAGGAGGAGGAGGAGGGGTCGCCCTCCATCCAAGCAGTTGTGAGATATGTCGAACGGGTCAAGGGTCGGGCGGGAGCTAGTGAGCTAGTGCGGGCTGACTGACCCAACTGGGGGGGGGGGGGGAGAAAAGCGCTCTATCAGGGCCCCTTGGAGGCACCAGCTGGCTCATAAAGGGGCCCTAAATGGCCCCTTTAGGGCCCCCTTGTTCATCCTCAATTTGGGTCATCCCCCATTGACTACCTACCAGACCACCCCAACCCAACCCGAAGACCCGAATTTCGGATTGGGAGGGTAAGGGTTCCACATGTGTTTTTGTCCATGTTTCCCGCCCCCCCCCCACTGGAAATCGAGGGAAAAGATTAGCCTTCGGGTTGGGTTGGGGTGGTTTGGTGGGTGGTGACCCATTAGCACACGCCCGAAAGGGGCGGGGTCAAACTTTAGCCACCAAACGGCTTCGCTCAGACGCATGCGCGCGGTACGGATGTGGGCTTCGCGTCAGAACAGACAACGGGCAACTTAGTTATTCCGCCTCAATTTGGTGCAGCTGCTGAAAAGTAAGCTTTCAAACCATGGCCGACACGTGACGACGTCAACCACACATGTGGAACACCGACCAGAACTCCATCTGTACAACTGTGCGAACACCGCCATAACCAACGCCCGAACCTGATACCGTTATGATAAACATGCGTGTGACCATGCGTGTGACCATCCGTGTGACCATTGGCGAGTGCGTATGGCGTTACAACGGTCTCCACAATTGAAATCTACAATCGGAAATATACGTGCGTGTGTCTGTTCGTACCCTTGTTGATAGATCGACGCTTTCCATCCGTGAAACTAATGCGCGAGCCAATCTGCAAATGTCACAGGTTTCGGGTGCGAGGGGGGGGCTCAAGCGAAGCGCGCAGAACGCCCTCCGACACGCCACGACGTAAGCGAAGCGCGATTAGGGAGTCACTTATTTTGAGAAGGAGACGTGAGCAGAACAGGGCTGGAATGGTGAAGACGCATGAGGATGGGGGGAAGGGGCTGGAGGGTGGGGAGGGTAGGGAGGGGGAGGGAAGATAGAGAAAGAAAGGCAAGATAGGGAGGCGGGAGGATGAGGGATGAGGGGTCAGGAGGAGGAGAACGTGACAGTTGGCGAATGAGGAGGACGAGGAGGCGGAAACTTGCAGGGAGAGAGGGAGGGGACAGGGAGGAGAAACACGGATGAGCAGTGGCATCGGTATCTTTCCCTGCTCTAAGGGACGGGAGAAGAAAGAGAAACAACAGCAGGAGGACGACAAGGACCACCCGACCAGCTCTCGGCCTCCTCAGTCCGCCCGGCCCCCGTCAGCCCCGCGGGGCGAACCCTCACAGCACAGCCGCCGTGGGGTCACCGCTCAGGCCGGGCCGTGGGCCAGCCCAGCGGGTCGAGACAGAGCAGGCTCCGTCGCGTAGGGGGAAGCGGCCGGCCACATGGGCTGCCTGCAGGAAGGGGGGGGGGAGAAGGAGTCGGAGGAGTAGGAGAAGGCAGAGCGCCATGGGGAGCGGAGGGGGCAGAACTGGGAGGAGAAGAGGCGAGGGAGCAGAGGGGCGAGGAAGAGGAGGAGAGACGTGGAAGAAGAGGGGCATCCGACGACACTCGCGTGCTTGTGGATCTGTGTGGATGTGTACATACGTGCGTAGCTATGTGTGTATAGATACGCATTTCGCAGCGCCATTTGTTCTCTCGACGCGCCCAAATTCACGACGCCGCCACCAAGGCAAACCCGCGGCAGGCCCTGCGCCCCGCGACCCCGGGAGACGCAGCCGGCGCCACGGCAGGCCCACGGCGACCCCGTCGCGCCCGAGGCGGAGTCTGCCCCGGAGGCCGCGGTGCCCTCCCCGAGTCGTGAGGCCGCGGCGCCCCTCCCAGAGCGCGGGAGGTGCGCCTGCGGCGGGTGTCGGGGCAACAGGCCCCCCCCCCCCCCACCCTCAGGTCGGGCATGTCCCCCTACAGGCGGACCTTCTACGAAGAATCAAACATGTCCTAAAACACTCAAACATAGTTAAAAAACAAGAATCGAAAAGTCGTCGCCAGACTATTTTTTTACTACTTTTGAACACTCCTCCTGTATAGAGGGACGTGCCCGACTTAACCCTACCCCGCCGCCGCCCTCACGTCCCCCCCCCCACCGGGGGGGTGAGCCCCCAAGGGACCCCGCAACGCGCGAGCCTCGTCCCGATCGGGGGCGCCACCGCATCAGCAAGGGGAGCTGTCGAGATCGCAATGAAGCGCGGGGGGGGTGAGGCGGAGGACCAGGCCCGAGAGCGCCAGCGGGCCATGCGGCAGCGCTTCCCGCGTGCTGCCTGCAATCGTGCGATCTGGGCCCCAGCGGGGGTGTCTCAGCCCCCCTCTCTTCCTCCTCCTCCTCCTCCTCCTCCTCCT